TTGCTGAGAAAATACTGCTAACAAAAAAAAAAAACTAGATAGGCTGACAAGAAGTTCGGATGGGGTTCCAGCCGTTCTACCAGGTCTTCAGCGATTTCAGTCGGCCAATCAGGTTCTAAAAGTATCTGAATTACTTTTTATATTCAATTTTGTATGTAAAATCAGGAAAAAATAGTACCAAAATTTTAAAAAGACAATAAATCCTCAAATTTTGCTGAATTTTGCCTTTGCCCATTTTTAAAAAATCAATATTTCAAAATTTTTTAAATGAAAAAAGACTTTCAAAAATCCACTTTTCAGTTTTTTCTAGGTAACTCGATGAGCTCGGTCTAATGATCAAAAAAAAAAATTTTGCTTATCTTTTGAATTACCGGCACCTTACACCTGTGGAAGAAGTCAAAAATAAGCAACTTTTTACAAACACTTACATTGATAGTTTGTTGTCGAGATTTTTTATCTAATTCAATTTCTGTTAGATATTTTTTGTAAGATATGTCGTTGGATTTAAAGAACGGCTGATTTAAATAATGTAATTTATAACCACCATAGATAAAAATAAATAATAAAACAGTTGCTATAAGAAAATTACGTTGTTGTCGATGTAATTGACGCCAGTACTACGAATAAAAATAAAACAAGCATACATTCATATGCGTACATTAGTGGTCTGCATTGTTAAGAAAACACAACCCAAAACCGACCCGACAACTATTCAGTCCGAACTGATTCTAATTTCGGGTTCGAATCGGATTGTAGATCTCTAACGTACATGTCCTTCAGACAAGAAACGACAATTACTCGATAAAATGATAATTTCTGTCTAGTAAATGTTTTTTGTGACAAATCAATCACAAACTGCCCATCTGTTGTCTTCATAATTTTCTTATTAAACAAAATTATCTATGTCGTTCGGCTCATCTAAAATTAGATAGCTGCATTATTTTCGACTAGAATATTTAGTTATATTTATGATTTTAAATTTTAAACTCAACTTCGTTTGTACTTAATAAGTCTGTTTTACAACCATTTTTGAGTTATAGCAAAGCTCAAACCAAGGAAACTTAGCCTGACTCATAATACTAAATAATTTGGTGATTCGACCTTTAGAAACTGAACGTTCTGCAGATCAAATACCAAAGTATATTGGTGATGTTCGGCCATTCACTTAGTTTCTCAACTTTTTCGTACGATTTCAAAGACCTTGACCAAAGCTCATACATAGAAAGATAGAGAATTTTTCTGGCTTCAAAATGAGTTAAGCTACTCAAAGATATGGCCATATAGATCAATTGTCACAATACTCGACAGATATCATAATTTTTCCCTACCTCAAGGCTTTAAAAGAACATTTCTTTCACACATCTGCTCAGAACCCGAATGTTTTATATATAGGAAGATAGAGAATTTTTCAACCTTCAGAATGAACTACAATATTTGGTTTTAAAAATTTTCCCTCTGAGATTTAGTACCTAAATATTGGATAGATATCACGATTTTTACCCGTACCCATTGGAGCTTTTGGAAATAATTAGAGATTAATGCGAACTAATTTAAAAAAGTGTCATATTAAATTAGTGTGCATTAATTTTTTTCTGGTTAAAAATCAACTCAAATCAATTTAACTTGATAAATTAATTCAAATAAATTGAATTTTAACCGGTTTCAATTAATTTATCAAGTTAAATTGATTTGAGTTGATTTTTAACCAGAAAAAAATTAATGCACACTAATTTAATATGACACTTTTTTAAATTAGTTCGCATTAATCTCTAATTATTTCCAAAAGTTCTAATGGGAAGTGATATATAAAAATGATTACAGTTTTTTTCACAAAGAGAAATGAGGACTAGTTTGTATGTAGAAAAAGTAGAATTGAGAGAGCTACGAAATAAGTTATAATACGTTGCTTTAAATCTTAAGATTAATAGACTTATTGGCAAAATATCGAGCGAATAGGAAACAGTAAAATCTACAAAACAAACAGGAGAAATGTCTTTGGGGCTTTTCGTCAGCTCTTCACGACATATTTTCATCAAGTTGCATTATATTTTCGAATCCTACCTAAACCTTTCGAGTTTGTATCGATTTCTGGTTTATGTTTGAGTGAAGCAAACAGTGTTATCACGCGCACCTGTTAGAGTTCCAGAAAACTTTTTGATTTCTATTTTTTTTAGTTTCTTTCTATATGAAACACCCAGTGAACGTGAACATTTCAAGGATGTGTCGTTGCAAAGAACGATCGAAGGTAGGCTTGAGCATTGTTTCCCTATTAGAAGAGACACTGGTTGATATGAGCTACTATTATTGATGAATGATGTTACACTCGAATTAAGAAAACAACGTGATGTTCTCGATATCTTCATGAGGAACTATGGTGAGGACACTTTTCTTCATTGCGCATATACCTTTTAGGAGATTTTATATGCAGAGAATCCTAGAGTCAGAATGATGAGTGTTACTTGTTACATCATAAAAAGAGTAACAGAAGAACGTGACCACTACTTACAAGTTAGTTCAGTCAGCCTTCAATTTCCTCACAGTCATCGCGAAATGTCGGTTCAGTTTTTCAATGTAGTAACGAAGAAAACAAAGCTAATAAAAACAAAAAGGAGACAACTTTTTCGTCAGTGTATTGCATTACAATTTGAAAATAAGAAAGTTTATGGAAAGACCTAAGTAAAGTTAAATGTAAGAATGCACGGTAAAAAAATAGAAGACAATACTGAATTTGATCGTATCAAAATAAAAAACAGTAGTTTTCATCCTTTACGAGGTGTCGGTTCCAGACAACTAAAAATTCATTTACAAAATAGCTACAAAATATTATCTATAACATATCATGTTACGTATACAGCTATTAACAGCGATAAAAACCAATAGGATCTATTTGTTTTGTAAGCAACTAAGAGAATAAGAAAAAATATCTCATTCTACAGAAAGAACGCGACGCCAAAATGAAGGAACATTTCAAATGCGATGACGTGCGAAGTATATTTGTTTGAAGCGAGGACAATATGATACTGAAAAAAAAATCCAATAACTGTAACTTTATATTAGCGTGATTGTTTTAGATCATGCCAAGGTATTTTACAATGAGATATATCATATAGAGCACAAGCCATTTTAGATTAACCTTGGACACAAAAATATATGACGATCACAACGAAATGAAAAGCCTTGGTGTTTCGAATAAATTATACAATACTAAGAATTTATCTTTCATCTTTCTACATATTGTTCATCTTATGAACTGGTAACGCTTCGTGTGATACAATACGTTTTCGGTGTCAGCCAATAAAAATTTTCCACCTTTTACCTCTACAATAAGCTTAATGCGAAGGTCTGACAGTATTCTCTTACTCGATTTTCCTCGGAGATTTTTATGAAACTTTGAGAGTATCTGGTTGTACTTGACTAAGAAGCAATCTTCTGAGTTTGATCCTTTGACGGTTACTTTCTTTGTGAAGACAGTTACAATCCAAAACAAGTTTTGTTCTTATTTTAGCTATTTTTGTATACTGCATACATCAAATCCAAGGATATTCAGACATCTCCTGGTAACATTTTAAACAAAATAAGCACAGTTAGAGTTTAATTTTAATTAAATGTAGTTAGAATGGTGTTTCTTTCACTTAATCTCAAAAGTATTCTTAAAAGAAGGACAAATATACAAAAAACGTTACAATGGCAAGTTTTTCATGGTAGATTCTATTGCTTGTTAACGGTTTTTCTCCTCAAACAGCACTTTCTTTCTAAATATTATCTATACTTTAGTGGTCAACCCCGTAGAAAATCCTGCGATATTCCATGGACCTTCCGTAGAAATTTTTACCTTTTTTGCTAGTTCTCCTAATTTTGGGGTAAAATTTGAGCATTTCGTTAATTTGTTCAAGTAATTGTCAAGAGTAGTACGAGCCGATCTTGTAGTAAGTGTTGCGGTCACAACGTGCTATAATACTGTGAAAATTTAATAGACACTCTTTTTATAATTGGAAAAATGTAGAAAATTCATCGACAAACTGTGTACTGCCACTCTTCTCTAAATTAGCATTATGTTACATAAATAAATAATTATGTGTTTATTTGTGAATCTATTATCAACAAATAAAATTGGAATCAGTATTGTGTCTGATCAGTTTTCAAAATGATGTAGATTAGACTTTTCTACCTGCTCCACAGTAGTTATTTGAAACTAATGAAGCTTTCCATCATAAGTTTTGATGTTTATTACTAACTTCTATTAAATCTATTAGAATTATTTTATTCATCTTTAGTTCTCCGAAGATTGTACACCTTTCTTGAGTACGATTTATTGTCTACTGGTGATAATTGTCTTTTTACGCCTTTGTAATTTTAAACGTGTACACATAGTTGCGTTCTAGCTGGTTTTTCTAAAATATTAAGAGTCTATCATTATCATTCTACCCTTTTTCTGTCTGATAAAGAGTATTTTTCTCTTAATATGTATCGCCTGCAAAATGAGATTAATCTTTCTGGATAAATCAGCTGTTTATGTTGTCACAAGTTTCTAAGTGACTTACACATTTTAATATTTTTCTTATTCTTAAAATATTCATAATTTTTCTAGATTGTAACATCTAGCCAGAAACAACAAGTAGTTATGACTCAACGATTTCTACTGCATCTTGTGAAACAAGTGAGTATAAATTAATTTTATTTATGCTACTGATAAATATGAGATCAATAAAATTGTGTCTATTTAGTGTTGCTCCCGTCAATGGTACATGCCAATTCGTACTTATGCCGTTAAACGCGAATCGGTATGCTATTTCTATTATTTAGAATGTGTCTTATTTTATTGTTACTACTCATTTCGAATTGTAGAAACATTATCCATTGGAGAAAATTCGAAATATTGGAATATCAGCTCATATTGATTCAGGAAAAGTAAGTATAAAAATGATGAAACAATTTAAATTTATTTACAATCATATCTCTTTCAAATATTTTAGACAACATTATCTGAACGAGTTCTATTCTATAGTGGACGTATACAAGAAATGCATGAAGTTTGTATTAAAAATGAAAATAAAGCAAAGAATAATAATATTAATCGTTAAATATCGTGTGTCTTTTTATAGGTGAAAGGAAAAGATGCTGTTGGAGCAACAATGGATTCAATGGAACTTGAACGTGAACGTGGTATAACAATTCAGTCGGCTGCTACCTATGTAGAATGGAAAGGATATAATATTAATATTATTGATACACCAGGTGAGTCTTAAGAGCAATATTTCACAATTATTTAAAATCCATGTTTAATTTTTTCAGGTCATGTTGATTTTACAATTGAAGTCGAACGTGCATTACGTGTATTAGATGGAGCGGTGTTAGTCGTATGCGGTGTCAGTGGTGTTCAAAGTCAAACAATGACCGTGAATAGACAATTAAATCGTTATAAAGTACCATTTCTGACATTTGTTAATAAACTTGATAGAATGAATGCAAATCCATATCGAGCAACAACACAATTACGGTAATTAATAAAAAAAGAAAATTAGACTCTTTCTCTACGATGATAATAATTAATAAATTTTTTTCTATTAACAGATCAAAACTTAATCATAATGCTGCACTGGTTCAAATACCAATAGGTTTAGAAAGCAATTTCAAAGGTATCATCGATCTTATTGAACGAAAAGCATATTATTTTCATGGACCTCATGGGTAATAAATTAATTAAGTTAAAAAAAAACGTTATTCAATTTTTGGTTGATCTACTTGTAGAGACGAAATAGTCAGCGAGAATATACCAGATGAATATGTTAAAGAAACAGAAGAAAAACGACGTGATCTAATAGGTAATTGATACATCCGTAAAGAAGAAATTTAATTCTGTTATTATTATGTTGTGATCTATTTTAGAGTCTATATCAGGTGTAGACGATTTACTAGGTGAAATGTTTTTAAATGAAGAACAACCAAATGAAGAACAAATTCATGTGTGTAAGAAGTCTTGTTGACGATTTTCTTCACAGTCTTTTAAGTTTTATATAAGATTGAGATTGTTGACAATTTTCTTTTTGTTTATTGTAGAGCGCCATACGACGGTGTGTAATTAAACGTACATTTAATCCCGTATTTGTTGGTTCAGCATTAAAAAATAAAGGCGTTCAGTTATTATTAGATCGTGTTAATCTTTATTTACCAAATCCAGCTGAAGTAGAAAATGTAGCACTTGATGAATTTGGGTTAGAACAAATAGTTTTTTTGTTTTATTTTGTTAACATATCATTTTTACTTTTTTATTTCAGAAAACAGAAGAAAAAAATTGTATTAGATCCAGCCCGAACATTTAATAATCCATTTGTTGGTTTTGCATTTAAATTAGAGGTATGAATTCAACTAAAGAGTATTATTCCAGATGCTTAACATTTGTATCTTTACTCTGATTATGAATGTGTGTTTTAAATATGCAAACAATGAATGTGGACTAATTTTATGCCCTTTCTTGATTTCATTTGTTGAATGTTAATAAAATAAAACGATTTTATTCTTATCACTATTCTTTTTTGTTTAGATTGGTGGTCGTGGTGGAGCTGCAGGTCAATTGACGTACGTACGTGTTTATCAAGGTGGTGTGAAGCGAGGTGATACTGTTTATAATATACGTACACAGAAACGGACACGTGTTTCGAAGTTGGTTCGAATGCATTCAAATAAAATTGAAGTGAGTAGTTGTTTAGAAGTACACAATGATAAAATGTTGAAAATATTTGAAAAATTCTTTTTGATGTGTATTCTAGGAAGTGGATGAGACATACGCTGGTGATATATGTGCAATTATTGGATTAGAATGTGCTACAGGAGATACCTTTGTTACTGAAAAAGCATATCAGATCACTATGGTAAGAGAAAATTGAACGAAAAGCATTCAAATCTCTTGAATGGAGGCATTTTTGAATGGAAAAGGGCAGTTCAAAGTAATAAGTACGACTTGAATTTAAGAATTTAAGAATTAAAGTTATATTGAGAAAAAGAATGGTGCGTGATGAATTCTAACTTAAATCTAGTATAAAAAAAACAATAGTCAGTAATTTATTCATTTTTTATAGGAATCAATCTTTGTTCCAGATCCCGTTATATCAATGTCAATACGTTGTTCATCAACAAATGATGCTGAACAATTTGCTAAAGCCCTTGGTAGGTAAGTTATCGTAGAGTAAATCTATAATTGTCTGTAACCGTTCAGTAATCTTTGTTTCTCTTAGATTTACTCGTGAAGATCCAACATTTCGTCTTGTTTATGATGAAGATAATAAGGAATCTGTTGCTATGGGAATGGGTGAATTACATCTTGATATTTATGCTCAGGTAGAAATCGTAGTAGAATCTCATATAAAATATATTTAATATTTTTTATTCTTTCTAGCGTATTCAACGAGAATATGGAGTCAAAGTCATTATGGGAAAACCAAAAGTGTCATTTCGTGAAACATTAGTTCAACCAATAAAGTATGTTATTAGAATAATTTATGAAATAGATTGGTATTTTTCTCGCTATTTATTATTTTAAAGATTTGATTATTTGCATAAAAAACAGACGGGTGGTGCAGGTCAATATGGTCGTGTTATTGGCATTTTAGAAGTACGAGAATGTTTAATCTAACTTCGATAAATAACTCTGTTCATATTTCTTTTCAGCCATTGAGTCCTGATAAATTTGCGACAATCGAGTTTTCTGATGAGACATCGGGTACTAATGTACCTTCTCAATTTATTCCAGCAATAAAGAAGGTTATTTAAAATTGTTCAAAGATTTTTCAATTTCATCAAAAAAGTTCTTATTTCGATGTAGGGTTTAGCTCGTGCTTATGAAAAAGGTTCATTAAGTGGAAATAAAATTAGTGGAGTTAAATTTCGTTTACAAGACGGTAAGAATAATTAAGTATATGAAGAATTTATACTTTTTGATCGATGATTATTTATTATTATAGGTGATCATCATATTGTTGATTCAACCGAAATAGCATTTATGAACACAGCAGAACTTGCCATCCGACAAAGTAAGATATTTTCATTTTCTAATCAACTTTTTCGAGAATAATAATAACTTATTATATGTAACGTGATATACTAGAAAAATGAGACGAATATCTTGTTGAATTCGAAATAATCTAGAATTTGGAACTTGTTGCAATTCTTCGATGTTTTTTCTAAGTAAATATCTTTTTTTTCTATAGCACAAGATTGGGGACAATGGCAAATAATTGAACCGGTTATGCTTGTGAGTATAAAACTTATTTTGAAACTATTAAATAAGAAAAGTAGAATTATAATAATTGTATATATATATCTAGGTTGAAGTAAATACTCCTACTGAATTTCAAACTGGTGTCCAGGGTATGCTTTCAAGACGTTTTGGTATAGTTAGTTCAGTTGAACCACGTGAAGAATGGGTCACAATAATATGTGAGGTATGTTGTTATTGCTATAATTTCTCTCAATAGTTCTATATTTGTTGTTTTAAAAGATTGCTTTAAATGATATGTTCGGTTTTTCAACTGAACTTCGTTCAATGACTCAAGGTAAAGGTGAATTTGCAATGGAATATATTCGATATTGTCCAGTGAGACCGGATGTAACGCAAGTACTCGTACAAAAGTATCAAGATAGTTTAGAACAACCGATGCAACATCGAAAGAAAAATAATTAGATTTATTAGTGAAATTAATTATACTGTGTTTTAGATCAGTTTTCACTCTATTTGTTTGTTTATTGTTGATGGAGATGTGTACAGCAGGGATGATCGCTTTGACGAACGGTGACTTAGTAGGAAGAGCAATGATACAAATGACGAGAATCTTGAGTTCAAGTCTCAATGGAGACATGTCATTTCTCCCTCACAGTTCCATTATTCGGACGGTTGATCAGATAAAAACGCTATTTTGTCTCCCTATTGAACCCATAATCATCAACAAAGTTTCTACATGTTTTCATTGTCGTTTTCTGTGTAATTTGTATTATTGTTATACAAGTTGAACTATTTTTTTTGAATGATGTTTAGTGTTTTTATATTCTATCATTTCGTATAAAATATAAAATAGAACATTATATTTCTAATTCTATTTCATTTTTCTAATCTAGCTCTCTTTTTTTCTAAACTGTCGTACGGAACGGAAGAAAAGATGAAGAATGAAATTTTCATTACATCTGTTTATTGAGTTGCTTGAATATTTCGATCGAGAGAAGTTAATTGCTGACAATTTTTATTTTAAAATTCATGAAACTTATTAGTGATATTATCATTTTGGATTTATAAAATTGAAACTAAACATTTTCTATTTGTAACATAGCATTAATTTCGTTCGAATTGTTAGGATCTATCAGAGTCTTAAAACCAATGATAATAATTAGGATTGAAGCATCATTTAAGCATTTGTACGCAGAGCTCTCACTGTTTAAACTTAGGAAATATTTTCTTTTCTTAATCTTCTTTATCTTTGTAATTTAAACAGTCGGTTTGTACATATTGTAGGGTTGATCGAGTCTAAGTTGAGTCTGAGTCTTTAAAAAGTTCGAGTCCACGGCCTAAACACTTATAGTCGAGTCAGACTATGTTCAGATCCTTTTTTTATTGCTGTAGTTTACTTCTCTTACTTACTAGTAAGCAAAGTGTTGTAGTCAGAACAATATTTAGAGAGAGTAATGTTCGCGATATTGAATGAGCAGGTGTAGACTATCATCAAATTGCATGATACATGGCAAGCACGGTTCACTTTTAAATTCAGAACAAAATGAAAGTGAAAAATTAAAATTTCTTACTCATTTATTTAAAAATTTGAATTGATCGAACTCAAAGTACATAAAACTTAAGTTCGAGTCTGATTCAGTATGAAGTAGTTATGATTCAGAGTCAGTATGAAGTATTAAAAGCAGTTCAAAGAAATTCTAACTACTATTTTATTCACAATACTGTCACATCGAAAACAAGAAAAATGACTACAGAAGTGTTGCTTTATTTCACTCTTTTTCTTTATTTTTAGTATGAAAAAAATTTTTTTTTGTCAGTCTAAGTGATCAAAAAACGAAAATATTTCAATTATTGGAGGAGGTATGCATCCTCCTGGAATTGACGGTTCTGCTACTAACAGCTCATAGCCATCGTTGACATTTCTAGAAAAAACAATCCATTTTCTAAAAAGCAAATATTCACACTCTGTTTATCATATTTTCCACAACTAGATGATTTTCTTTTAAAAATGCATAGATATTCTACGTATGACAGTATTTTTTAATTAATTTATTATTGTTAGTTATTTGATGAACAACGTACTTCATTCTCATTCAAATGTTGTATGAAAATTATTTTAAAATTTTAAAATGTTTTATCCAAATTTTATTAGAAAACAAAATGTCATGGTTTCCTGTTATGTATAAGCATTTCTTTTTTTATGAAATAAAAAAAAAAAAAAGGGATTTTAAAAAATAAATATGGAAATAACTGTTTTCTCTCGTTTGTCCTTTGAATAAAGAAAAAAAAAAAATATGTTGTCATCACCTACATGAAAAAAAGAAGGCTTTATAAGTTGACAAGGTTGATTTTTTGATTTTTGGCCGCAAAAACAATAGGTCCGATAAGTAATAAAAAAAGAAAAATGTCATTGTAATTTCAATATGTAATTTTAGATAAGATATGACATGTTTATCGGATTTTAACTACTCAATATCTATGTAATACAAATATAGTTTATAAAAATGTTTTCACAAATTATCAAAAGTAATTTTATGTATTTAATTAGCAATTTATATAATAATCGTATTTTAAGAAAATCATAATAACCTGAACAAAAATAATTTTGACCTAAACCGTCAAGAAAAAACAAAAAAAGATTTGTTTTCGATAATGTTGGTAGTTAATCGAACGTAGCCGATGCGTATCATCATACTTACAGAAATATGAGCCCTATTTGATTTGATATTTTTAAATAATCATTCATTCTCATTTATGTTCTTATTATTATCTCTCTCATGTCATGGTTATGATTATTAAATATGCTAAGCGTACATAACTAACAGAAATAAATGAAAATAATATTTCGAAAAAAAATTATTCATACATAATTTTCATAGGTGAACAGAGAGCATAATTAGGGTTCATTTCATATCGTTCATTAAACATGATTTATATCAAATTATCATGAAAATAACTTCTTTTTTTTTAATTAAAAAGTACAAGTATTTTTTTATTAGAATTTATCTTTATTTGTCTTTCATTTCATTTTTTTGATAAGATAAAAAATAAAATGTCAGTTCTTATAAGCCAAAATACGTATATTTTTGTTTAAATATTATTCACTAAAAAGACAAGAAAAAAATAACCGAGAAACTAACAATTAGAAAATAATGAGAGTGGGTAACAAATAAATAAATAATAATAAAGATTAAACAGCCGTCTTCGATTCTCGTATCTTAACCTATGAGATTGATCAGAAACTACTAGAAAAATTAAGATTTAAAGTAGTTTCTACAGAAAAATTTTAAAGAAAATGATAAAATCCTAAGACATTTTTCGTCTACTCTCCTCCGCTATAGCTATGTGAAATGAATCTTAAGAAAAACAGAAGACTAATCGGATGAGATAATGCTAACTGATGAACATTGAAGTGTATCGAATACAGTGTAAAGGAATTACCATTCTCAATAATAGAATGAATACAAACTCGAACGTTATCTTTTCAAGAAAAGTGTTGAAAGAAAACCATACCCAGATTTGTATTTTTATACTCAAATCAACATTAATTTTCCTTTGACATTCAAAGCGTTTATGTTTATCAGCAAAAATTCTATTCATTTGTGTTGTAGATCATAATGTTTCAGTGTAGTAGTAGTTTGAAAAATTAAAAAATTATTGTTTTAAAATCAGATAGAAAAAATAAATCAGAAGCATGTCATATACACATTTAAAATCGATAAACTATTCTCTCAGTAAGAACACAACAATGAGTGTGTGCATCTTCTTTTGAATGTTTATTATCGAGAGAGAGAAAGAGAGAAAGATCGTAGACCGCTGATGTTATATATATTTCGTATATATATTTTTGACATATTCACCGCGCATTCAAAGGCCAAAAAGGCTTTTTGGGCGTCATATTCTCTCTTTTTTTCCTTTATTTTTTTTTCTTCTCGCTCTTTGTTATTTGTATATAAAGAACGAGAAGAAACAATAGCTATATATTCTTTTGGTAGTTTTTTGAGCGTCTGCTACGGGAAAAAGAAATGGACAAAGTAAATGTTCAATGGGCATTGGTAATGTTGGCACAGTTTTTTATTCGTTCCAACGATATACATAAGTTGAATAGTCTGTTAAAAACTTATGATATACTCTATAGGATCTGTACACGTGTAACATAAATTGTCTTTATAAAATAAATATTTTTTGTTTATTACTTGTTGTAATCAGTACTAAATATTGTTTTTTGGGAGTTGTCTATGTCGTTTACTTCTATTGCGATAAAACACGGTTGATCAAACATTTGTCATAGTTTTCTCTCTCTTTCTTTTTCGTTGTTGGAGTGTGTATATCTATATATATAACATTCGTAGAACAGAGAAGAGAAAATGGAAAAAATAGTTTGGTTCCCGTATGCTATTTTTCATAACATTTGTACGTTCATGTTCACGTTTGTGTTTTTGTACTTCGATTGCACAATGTGCATAAAAGTTTGAATTTGTATGGTTGATAGGTATGCTTATTTCATATCTCGAATCTAACAAAATGTTTTTTGGGATAGTCTTGATCAATGATCGATTGAGATGATATTTTTCATTTGAGCTCATAAAGAATAAATGAGATAGTTCCTTGAAATATATGTGCATGGCTACTTTTCTTTAAGCAAAAGAACGAACTAAGAAGGATGATTTAGCTATTATTAGTGAATCATATAGCTTCAAAAATAATCGGTTATTGCTTTACACTATTTCAAATGGAAGTGTATGCGAGAGTTATAAACATTTTTTAATAGAAGCGTAAGTACCAAATATATTGTCTGTATATTGTTGTGTTGTGCTACCACCACCACCACCACTCTCTCCTTTCCATAGAAATATGTGTAATAATAAAGAAATGTTTTTCTTCCATCTTACTCATATATAAAGCAAGAACGAACAAACAAAAGCAAAGCTGCGTAACTTTTTTTTTCTTCTTCGAACAAGAACAAAATGGCCTTTACAATTGATAATTATAAACGGCATTTAGCACTCGTGTTCGATGTGAGGGCCTTTTCTGCTGAATTTGCACATAATTTCAATAAGTGAAATTGATTTTTAACAACTTAAATTAAAATAGACTGATTATTCAGTATTCGTATCCATCGAGAAAAAAAACTCAAAATTGATATTTGCAATAACATGACACACCTATTTATTTTATGAAAGTAGGCGATCAATTTTTTTTTTTTTTGTAGATATATTTTGAAGAGACAAAAGAAAAGTAATTCGGTCGTTATTCCATTGCCAATTCATATTTTACTTTAATTTCAACAAAGTATCTTTTCTCATTCATTAAGATTTATGTAAAACGTGTCTTTCTTGGTATACATGACACATTAACGTTAAGATTTTATGAAAAAAAAGTGTATACTGAGAGTATTTTGTTTTTTTAATGAGTAAAGTGAGCGTTTGGCGTTAAATTTCTCTTTATAATTTCTTATAATCTTTAATCAAGTAAAATTTCAGAATTGTTTTTTGATGATGAGATTACTATTCGATCCGAACGAAGTACCTACCTATATTTAATTCAACTGTGTAAGAATAACTTATAGAAAAGCAATGAACAGTATATGGAATTAAGTATTATTATATTAATGTACAGAAAAAAATAAGAAAATCTATGTTCTCGTATGTTGCCCATTCTTGACTTACTTTTTCTCTTGATATAATTGTAATGCACCATAAGTTTATAATAATATGTTTACAACTAGCAGGAAATGTTGTTGTTTCAATAGCGACATGTATGATGATGATGACAATAGCTTTTGCTTACCCTAGACAACCTATAGTATTCAAGAACCATCGATCTTACGTTCATATCAGATTGTTTTAGAATATAAATAAGACACTGTCTATATAATGAGGAGTCCTATACTACTGCACATAGTGTACGATAGTAGCATACGTCTTTTCCTTACGTAAAGAGAACGCGTAGTTTGTTATTACTTGTAGAGAGGAAAGAAAAAAATATTCGTGTTTGTTGAAAATAAGACGAAGACGAAGAACAGGACGACTACACAGAAATTTACATTTATGAACAACATAAGATGTAAAAAAACACAACCCGTTATCGTAGAGGAATAAAAAGAAAAAAGGCAATGGAAATAAAATCATCGTTTTTTTTATGTGTATGTTTATGTGCACCCTATTCTTATATGTTGTACTGTGAATCAAAAAGAACATTTCACTATACGTATGTGGATGGTATAGAAAATGTATGTCACATACTGCGTCGTGTGAACAAAAAGTACGTATGATAAAGAAAGATATCTTGTTGTGGCGAGGGATGTCTATTTGTCTGAGCAAAGAAAAATATTGAAGAAGATCTAGTTTTCAAGGATCATCGCCGATAGATATCGTCTTTTTCAATTGTCTTTTATATTGTTTATTAAGATTTTTTAAAAAATTAATTTATTTTGTACATAAATGAACTTGATTTGTTGTCATCAAGAATAAATAGTGTAAGTTCACCATCTACTCTCCATTCTCCATTGTATATATTTGTTATCGCCTTTTTTTTTTTTTACACTTGATCTCATGTGTATATAGATAGACAGCTGACATTTTCAACATTTTTTTAAACGCATTCGACTCGATCGATGTGTCGATGTCTTGATTAATGTTACCCGTACGCTTAGTTTTATCAAGTGCTGTAGATCGACTAAGGATTAAATTATCAAAAAGCAAAAAAATTAGCAAGTATATTTGTACAAAAGTGATTAAAAAAACATTTGGAAAAAAAAAGAATCGTGCATATAGTTGTTTTCAGCAAAACCCATAGTTCAATATTGCCTCACAGGTTTCTTTTTTTCTCTTTCGTTGATTATTATTATTATACTGACGTGATATAAACTCATCATTACCATATGTACGTGCAGAGTAAAACATCGAGAAAGAACAGAAATATAAGGGAGAGAAATGAAAAGAGTAAATCTTGTGCGTTTTTTATTTTTTTTCTATTGTACTACGTGAACAGAACAACTGCTGTGTATGAAAGACGATGAAGAACAAACGATCGCTCTGTAATACATATATACACGTATACCACCACTCATTCTGTTCAAATCCATGTGTGTCCTCATACAACATTCACACACACATACACATTTACACACACGCACAATTTTTTGCTTTGACTTTATCTGTTTTAGATGATATTCTGAAATTAAATACAAGAAGACTATGAGTATTCAATCACCTTCAACAGCTTGTGTATCTCCTGAAGAAGTAGCATCAGCAATGAATTTAGCATTTGCACAATTTTTATCTGATGAACCAACAGCTATGATGTTAATGTCATCACAATCATCAAACAATTCGAATTCTAATCATTATCCTTCTACATCAACAACAACATCAGTTGATAATAATAACAATAACAGTAACATGACACATACTAATAGCAGTAGTGCAATTTTTTTTGGCTCACAACGTAGACATAGAAGACCACCAACACCTTATGCAATAACAACTGATTATACAGGTAAATCACATTTATACCCAGTTTCAATTGCTATTTCAAGTCATTCTAATTAATACCTTAGATCATAGTTTTTCAAGAAATATTCTTGTTTTCAGAGTTTTACACTGTATTTTAATTATCACTTGTGAAACTGAAGTGATAGATTTTCTATCCAGTTTAAAAACTTTTGATTGACATAAAACTTATTACGTTTGCCTTTTCATGTGTTTCATGTTGCATTAATAAATAAAAAAAAATTGATCCATTTGAGAATTACTCGAATGTGAAATTATTTTTTATTTTGCTAATAATCAATTTTTTATCGATATAGAAATTAGAATATTTCTTATAATTTTACAGGCGAATCAACTACACCTTCGTTACCTCGATATAAAACCATTGTAAAATTAACCACATCCTCGACACAATCTCCACTTGAATGTTCATCGTCTGATCTTCCAACAACGTCGAATGAGTTGAATGATTATTCAGGATTTCTAATAACAGCACCTTCGCAACCTTCTACATCTTCGTCTACTATTACCACATGTACAACAACTACACCAACAGTCAATCGTAAAAAACGTTCTATATCAAATGAATATGATTATCCATCTTCAATATCAAATCAAAAACGATTTCGTTCTTCTACTATAACACCTAATTGGATATCAGACGAATCGGATGATGACGACTCAGAACAAATACAAACTGTCGCTACTAATTCTACAACTACGACAGCCGCCGCTATTGCTGCTGCAGTGACAGCTTCTCTATTAACTGCTAATAATCATAATAATACAACAACATTATCGGTTGTTAGAGAAAATGATTTAACAACAACAGCTAGAAATGAATTTTATGATTTCACAATTGATTCAACGGAACCAGAATTAGTCGATTTAACAATACCATCTCCCGCTCAACATCATAGAAGAACGTTGGAGATTGTTCCAGATGAAAGTTTTAGTGACGATGACAATGATGAGGAACAAATACAACGTCAACAAATCAACAAAGTAGAACAACCTACAGCAACCTCCTCTTCTTCAACTTCAGTTTCTCGACCAACAGGCAATTGTCATTCATTGAGATCTATTACTCATCAATCTCCGCATCATCAACAACAATCAGCGTTTATTCCTGTTTTTCATCATCAATATCAACAGCAATTCAATTTTCATCGACATAGTCACCACAGGTATTAGGGCGTAAAATGTAGATCCTTATTAATAAAAGAACGAACTTTTAGAAGTTAACTTGAACGAGAGATGTTGTTTAACAGTTTTTCTGAATACTTTAAAAATACTCAATATTATTTACTTTAGAGAAATAGCTATATGGAACTGAGAATATAATTTTTCATTGATCAGAGTTAGAGAATAATTAACTTTATTTATTTTTTTAGTTTACGACGCGGAAATTCTGCCACATTGTGTACATCAGACAACGGTCACTCGCATCGACGTCAATCTGAACATTGCAATGGTGCTTCATTAATATTTCGCTCAAATCATCCTCAGCCTTACCCTCCACCACCGCCTCATCATCATCTGTCTCATCCAATTAATCGTAAGTTACTTGTTTAATTTTTTTAGACAATTTAGTTCTATTAGTTCACTCTTTATTTGAATATTTTAGCATATGGTTGCCGTGTAGCCCCACGCAATCCAACTGTCGTATGTCCATCGAATTCTTCGTCAGCTATTCAACCTAACGCAAATCATCTGCAGAATTCTAGTCTTCCCTCTTCATTTATTTTATATCCACAAGAAGAGCACATTGCAGCTGCGGCAGCCGGTAAGATTGAGTTTTCTTCATTTAGAAATCCTATCTCAAAATTAAGAATTTTTTATTATATTTTTTCTAGCCGCTGCTGCTGCTGTTGCCGTATCATCTACTCTCAATTCAAATCCACATTATATTACGCCTATTCCAAATGGAACAAATCATCACATTCCTCATTATCATCATCCACACCATTTACGACTGTCTTATCAACAACAAGCAAATCAAGAAAGACAACGTCAACGGCAAATAATTGATTATCAAAATCATCATCATGTAAACGCAATGTTTCAGCAACAACAACAACAATCTGCATCGTCTAATATTCAGGCACATGTTACTATTCAAGCTACACCGCCCACAACCACATCAACAACAAATTCATATCATTTAACATTTGGACCCGGTATGCATTTATCGATTGGTTCTAGTACAACAAGTCAGGCAAACTCAACGACAAATCATCCGGCTCAACAAGTAAATAATGGTTGGCCACCAATTTTATTTCGACCATTACGTAATCCATTAATTGTTCGTGGACAACAATTTTTGGGTTCAGAACGTGCTGAACATGTTGTTGAAGAATTTTTACGAATGGAAGAACAGTTAAATGGTACAATGCAACAGGGTGGTGGCGTAAATATGGGTGCAACACAAGAACAAATAAATAAAACAACATTAGCACATAAATATCATAAACGAAAACAACAATATATAGATATAACAGAATCGAGTCATTTAGAAAAATGTACAATATGTTTGTGTGAATTTGACGAGAATGAAGATGTTCGACGTTTACCATGTATGCATCTATTTCATATACCATGTGTTGATCGATGGTTATCGACAAGTAGACGATGTAAGTAGTCGAATATATCACTATCAAATATGAATTCATCTCATGATATTTTTTTCTCCTATTTTTAGGTCCTATTTGTCGTATTGATATTGAATATAAAGGAGATTTTATTGATTATGGTTGTTGAACATTTTGCCAGGTAGAATGAACGTTGTTTGTGTAAACAGTATTTTGCTTTCTCTTTTTTTTGTCTGTCTATTTCTTTTCTTTACTGTGTACGCGCCATAAACGGTTTTTATTGTTATATACATAGAAAACACGATGAAAAATGTATGCATTTGTGTATGTGTAAAATGTATTATATGTGTATAAAAAAAAACATTTTAACTATTTGTTGTACTCTTTCACTGTTATCTACTACTTCCTTTACCTTCCGTATATCCCATTGTATTTTTATTGTTACTTAAATTTTAATTTGGTTCTTTAGATCATACATTTGCAAAAAACAAAAACGGAAAGAGATGGCTGTACAATTTTTCTCCTCTTTAGTGTCTTTTTTTTCTTTTTGTCTATTGTTGTTGTTGTTTTCGCTATTTTACGAATAATCATAAAGAGATAATAATAAAAGCAAAAATACATGGGCAGGCATGTTTAAAATATTCGATCATAAATCAACATGAATACTGATCTCACTTAATTATTCAACAAATAGTTGTCGGGTTTTTTATGTCAAAAATTAGAGAGTAGGCGTGCTAATAAAATTGAATATCCTCTAAAAAAAAGTCAACTAGAAATTTACTGATTATACAGCAATAATCCTATAAAAAAGAACTTATTTAATTTGTATGAAAAGGGCAATTGGAGTTTATGTAAAAGGGTTATAAGATTGCAAGATCAAATATTGAAATTTAAAATGAAGTCGAACAATTGTTTTTTTGAATATATTTCACATAATTGTTTTGATATTAATAATTCTTTCTAATTGACTGATTTATACTCAAATAATATTAAAAAAGGGAGAAAAACTCTCTAGCTAAAATTGAAGACTATTTAATTTACAGTAAACAAGACATTGGATAAATATAATTTATATCAAATAGTGTTTCAAACATCAAGTGATAGATAGGTAACTTGGGGACATGTTTTTTTATGATATTTAGCAACATTCTACCTACACTCATACTTGAATTTCTTTTTGTTACCATTCACCCTTCGTTTTTATTTTTTAATCAGAATAGTTTTCGCTGTTTTTTTTTCTCTCTCTCTGTCTCTTTCTTCAGATTTTATAAATATTTTGTTAAGTATGGTTGAGTATAAAAAAATTGAAAAATTAATAATCCTTCTCTCTGTTACTATACTCATGTATATAAATTATCGTGTACAGAGTAAAAATGCGAAAAGATTGTATGGAAAAAGAAAAAGAGAGAAAAAGTTAATCGAGTCTTCTCTACAGTTATTATGACATCTAACTTTTTTTCTGTTCTATTTTCACCAGTTATACTTTGAACAAAAAAACAAACAAACCAGCGTTCACTAAAGTAAAATGGATGTTCTAAAGAATTGTAATGTGTGTATGTTGTGTAAAAGTGGACAAAAAAAAGAAAAGAAAAATGTCTGCTTATTTACTTTTGTATGTTTTTACTAGAACATAAAAGTTATAAGAAATATTTTAGAGCATTCAGAAGTTCTAGTAAACTTCATTAACAGAATATTAGTAATTATAGCGTCAGATTCGAAAACATTGATTTTTGTGTAATTGTTGACTATGAAACTTTGAACTTTTCTTTTTCTGTGAAATTTTTGTGACTTTTTTTTCTTCCCTTTTACTGCTATTCAGACGCAACATATTGTAAGTAAAACAATCAGAGAAGAAAAAAAAAGTTATAGAAACGAATAATAAAAATGTATTTGTTGACAAGCCAACCGAAGCAAAGAGTTCAGTAGTAATAATAATTGTCATTCATCTTTACTTACCAGAACATTTTGTTTTAAAAATATTAATCTTCTTGAAAAGTTTGAGGATCAATATCTATATCGTATTCTAACCGGAAGAATAATAAACAAGGCAAGATAGAAACTTTCTGTATGTGTTTATAGATCAGTTTTCTTTATTGGCTAATATGATATTTTTTAAAATAACGTGAAAATTGTTCTCAGGTGTGAATGAAGACAAATGAAATACACGAGGAGGCGTTTTTGAATATCAAATTGTTTTTATTATGAAACATATAGGAAATAGGTGATTTCTCTTTTTATGAAGATTACAAATTTGATATCTGTTTCAGCTTTCCTATACCATGCTGAAAAATTCCAATATCTAGAGATCTATTACATGTGCGAATGGAGCATTTTAGCTAAATTAACACTTAAAAGTTCTATACCTCTGCAAAAAGGTGTCCATTAGTTTGAATTATGCATATGCATAACTCGATATTCTCTACAACATGTTACATTAAAATTTTGTAATGGATCTGTAGACATTCCAGTTTTTCAGCACGGTATAGAAAAACGTAGCAATCGAAACGGATATCAAATTCGTAATCTCTATGAAAAGTAATTACCCTAAAAATCTATACTTCACCCTAAATATAACGTGACACTTAAAAACATTTCCGCGTCAGAAATGAGATTGAATAAAAAACAATTGTCAACGAAGACAAAAGTGTAGGTACATCGCTGTTTGACATCCAATTTTACGAATTCTGATAGTTTTATGTGATGCAGATTTTAGTGGTCTCTAATATTGCGTTTTGCAATTTCATTTTTACTACTATTGAAACATTACTATTGAAAACAAAATATGAGATGATTGTAGAGAATATGATTTTGTGTAATCATGACAATTTCTGCTTGAATATTTTTTAACAATTTGATAGTCATTTACGCATAGTTGAAGAGATAACGTGTTCAAATCATGACATTAGGTCAACTGTTTAAGATTTTCAGTTTCTTGATCTACTCCAACTTATTTAGTTTAAAAGTATTTAACAAATGATCTTGTCATTCATTACTAATTTGATAATTTATTTAGATTTTCTCGCTCAAATAAGTAAACAGAAGTATATTTTTAAATTTAATGACACTGTTTTTGTTTTTAGATGTTCAAAACTTTATTTTCTTATGTATTTTCATTTTTTGAATATTTATATATTGTTATTATAACGTTACCAAGAGATTTAGGGTGACATAATTTATGCTAACGTTTATATACTGTTTTAACCACATGCATTCTTTCTTATTCTAGCGGTGTATATAAATTACTTAAACATACCGTGTTAATTAAATATTATGTACGACGTAAAATGGATTATATCGCTATATTTCGTCAAAATGTTAAAAAATACTCACAAAAACCATGTTTTCTATTTGACGAAAGAGTTTTTACATTTCAACATGTAAGTTGTCATTCAATTATATTTGTACATATAATTAATATTATCATGTTGAATTAGGTTGAAGAATTCAGCAATCGTTTAGCAAACTATCTTTCAGCTGAAGGTTTTCAACATGGAGATGTAATTGCTCTTATCTTAGAAAATTGTATTGAATATCCATGTGTGTGGGTTAGTCTATCCAAATTAGGAATAATTGCAGCTTTAATTAATTCAAATTTACGCTCAAAACCATTGATACATTCCATTAAAACAGCTGGTGCTAAAACAGTCATTACATCTAAACAACTTCTTCAGGGTAACAATAGTATCTTTTTGTCAATTAAAAATAAAATTTAAAATATCTATATTTTTAACTTATAGAAATTGAAACAGAACTCAAGGAATTTAATTTTATTAAAATATATATTTTTGATCCAAATACATCATCGAATAACAGTGAACAATCTGATTCTTCCACTCAAGTAGTCAATCTTGATAAACAACTTCCAAGATGTTCAGCTCAACCATCAAAGCCAATTCCATTTAGTTTACAACGTAAGAGATGACGATATTATCCACATTTACTTTAATAACAGGATATTTTTTATTTTCTCCTTTAGATCCAGTATTTTATATCTATACAAGCGGAACAACGGGCTTACCGTAAGATCATTTGAAGAACTTTAATTATGGAGGAAATATGAGATGTTAACTTTGTTTTTAGAAAAGCAGCAGTTATCAAACATTCAAGGTAAAGTTTCAGTAACAGTCAGATTTATATCTCTTTCAATATAAATTTTGTCTATATTATATAACAACCAGAACTTTTTTGACAACATCTTTCTTGATCTATTTTAGATTTCTTCTTGGATCATTTGGTTTTCTAGTTGCTACAGGTATAAATAGCAAGGATATTGTTTACAACACTTTACCATTATATCATTCACATGGTAAGATTAATACAATCATCTAAAGTTTTATGATTATTATGTGAATTATTATTTTTTCTTCTAGGTGGATGGATTGGTGTTACATACAGTCTAATGGGCGGAGCCACAGTTGTATTTCGAAAAAAATTTTCGGCCAGTAATTTTTGGAAAGATTGTATTAAATATAAATGTACGGTACGTTCATTCATGCCTAATATATTCGCATGAATAGAGTTTAAATATAAATAAAATGTTTTTTTTTTAGTGTTTTTTATATGTTGGTGAATTATGTCGATTTTTGTTAGCTCAACCATCGAGTCCCGATGATCAAAATCATCAAGTACGTTTTGCATCTGGCAACGGTTTAAGAACAAATTTATGGCAACAATTTTCAAACAGATTTAATATTAAAAATATACAAGAATTTTATGCAGCAACAGAAAGCAATGCCTATTTTTGTATGTTACATTTTTTTATGTATTTAATAAAGAATATTGTTCTGTTATTTTTATTGTTATTTTTTTTCTGTTCTAGTCAATATTGATTCAAAAGTGGGATCATGTGGATTTAATTCGGTAATAGCACCAAAGTTATCAGCCGTTGTATTATTAAAATTTAATCCGACAACAATGGAACCAATTCGAAATGAAAAAACTGGCCTTTGTATTAAATCTGATATAGGTAAAATTAGAGAAAAATTGTTTGAGCATTTAAACACTAATTTTCTTCTCTGTTTCTATTAAAGGTGAACGTGGATTATTAGTTGGAATGATACGTGCAACTGTCTTACAAGCGTTTGATGGTTATGTGAATAATTTATCGGGTACACAACGAAAAATGATCAGCAATGTTCTCAAGAAAGGAGATTCTGCGTTCAATACAGGTAAATAACAACGTTATATCAATCATTTTATTTTCATATAATATCATATTAATTTTGATTTAGGCGATATTATTATTGTTGACAAATTCGGTTACTATTATTTTTGTGATCGTACAGGTGATACATTTAGATGGCGTGGTGAAAATGTATCCACTGTGGAAATTGAAAATATATTAATGGATATTTTAAAATTATCAGATATAGTTGTATTTGGTGTTAGTATACCAGGTAATTTTTATTAGAAATGTTAAGTCAAATTTTGACTGATAAATTTAAAATGTGTATCTGCTCATTTTAGAGACGGATGGCAAAGCGGGCATGGTTGTAATAAAAAAAGATAATGAATCATCTCCTATTGATTTAAAATATTTAGAAGAACAGATTAAAACACATTTGGCATCTTATGCGCGACCGATTTTTATTCGTTTAACTGAACAAATTGAAATGACAGGTACTATCTAACGCATTCATTATAAAAAATAAAACACTATTTCTGATATTTCTTCACTTAGGAACATTTAAAGTAAAAAAGACAACATATCAAGATGAGTCGTATGATATAACACGTACTAATGATGAAATTTATTATTTAAATCCGTCCACTAAAATGTATCAACGAGTTACAAATGATATATACGAAAAAATAAATCAGGGAAAAATAAAATTTTAATAAAATTTATGATAAGATACAATTAACTTCCGTCCAAATATAATTTTTCTTTTCTCCACTTTGTGAATCGAATGAAAGAAGATAATTCCGAAAAAGAAGGAGAATCGAAATGTGAATTAATATTAATGAAATAACGAAACTAGAAAGACTTCCTATGAATAAGTAACGTTTTTATATATAGGTTGTTTTGTTTATATGTTATTATGTTTTATTTTCTGCATACGCTTTTTTTCTATACATTGATTTTTTGTTTTACATTACTTTGTACAAGGCCTTTTTTAAAATATAAATATATGTGTACGGGTTTTATACTTGAACAAGTAATGTTATGACTGAAATAAGTCCATGGTGATAGGAAAAGAGCAGATGTTTTCTTTTTGAGCATACAATGTAGTGTGTGTGTGTGTGTGTGTGTGTGTGTGTGTG